GTTTGGGGCCAGACGGAGAGGTTTGGAACAGAGGGTCTTCAGTTACCCTAGTCCCTGAAAGGGGCAGGGCCCACCTCAGATGTAGATGGAGTCTGTCTAGGCATTTAGGTCTCCTTGGAGGCTCGTTTCTTCCTTGTTCTTGATAACCTAGGGGAGAGCTTTGGCTCTTCAAGTTGAGTGCAGGCTTCCACTTTTCTAAAGACTTTTTTTTTTTTTTTAAGAAATTTTACTCAAAATAGAGAACACGTGTGCATGCTTGGGAGCGAGAGAGCAAAGGAGAGAGAGGGAGAAGGAGAGAGAAAGAGAGAAAGAAAGGACCCTTGACAGGATCTCATTATGCATGATCTTCTCTCTCCAGCCCTCCAGCTCCTCGGGATCCTGGATACCTACATAAATGCATGGCATGTTTTCAAGTGAACCTGGCATATGAACCTGGTTGGTCAAACAACTTCCAGCTTTGCAGGGTACTTGCAAGATCATTGTGCCACAGCAACTGGGCTGAAGATGCCTTTGCTAATGAGGACGTGTCTGTCAGAGAGCGTCCATTGTTTCATAGTCACATGAATTTTTCTGGTCTTGACTCTGTAACCATGTAGAGGAGCATCCCCTCCATGGAGAAAACTTCTCTAAGTTTTCCTCAATAAACTCCACATTATATCTTCATCCTGTGACCCTATGCTACTTGCCCATGACTCTTTTGCATAATTGTAAAAAGCACACTGTCTTTATTAGAGCTTTCTTGCTACTTCTATATACTTGAGAGATAATGATTCAATGACATATTTCTGTGTTTTGGTATTTAAAAAGCAAGATGTTCTCCAGAGAACTTATGATCTGTGGAGCTCGTATAATTAGAAATTGGGCCTTACAGAAAGACTTTTATGCCAGAACAGTTTGAGAGATGATTCTTAATATATAAGTGAGTTAACTTTCTCCTGCCACTTAGAATCATACAGACATATTGTATGCTGTCCCATTTTTTAAAATCACAAATTGAATATAAGAAGTCTCTTTTCTTTTTGTGGGTACTTTAATTTTTTAAAAAATTTCTTTCAAGATATATATATATATAGGGACCAGCAGTTAGCATAATGGCTATGTCACTGGACTCCCACGTAGTCAACCGCAGTTCAAGTCCTGGACCCAGTGGCTTAAACTCACGCCGGGCACGTGTGCGTGCGTGCCCAAGATCCCGAGAGGAGAATGGAGGAGAAGGGATTGTGGCGTGGCCATCCCCCCTGGGGGGTGATTTCCTGCTTTCTGTCTCTCTGTCTCTCTCTGTTTGTCTGGCGAGCACACGCGCCCTATAGCAAAAACCTCTCCAAAAAAAAGAAAACACCCTCAACAGGATCTCACACTATTGTATCTTTCAGCCTTCTCAACCAGGCAAGACTGTGGGCCTATGTGCCTAGTGTGTACAGGTTGACTGGGGAACAAACCTGTGGTCTTCTGTATGGATACACCAAATTTTATGTGCCACAGTTTGAGCCAGCCTTGTAAAGTCTCTAAAAAATAGCTTTATTTAGTCAGCCACCATACAATTAACTCCATTAAAGTGTACAATGCAACTGTTTTTAGTATATGTACAGATGTCCTTTGATTTCCAGTTGATTTTAGAACATTTGTATCTAAAAAATAAAAACAAAAACTCTCTATACTTTTTTTTTTCTTTTTTGGAGAGGTTTTTGCTATAGGATGTGTGTACTCGCCAGAAAGACAGAGAGACAGAAAGCAAGAAATCACCTCCCTCCCCCCAGAGGGGTGGCCACACTGCTATCTCTTCTCCTCCTTTCTCCTCTTGGGATCTTGGGCACGTACGCACACGTGCCCGGTGTGAGTTTTAGCCACTGGATCCAGGACTCAAACCACAGTCGACTACATGGGAGTCCAGTGACATAGCCGTTACATTAACTGCTGGTCCCAAAACTCTCTATCCTTTAGTTGTTATCTTCCTATTCCATCATCTTCCTACCTCTATCACTAAGCAACCCTTGGTCTACTTTCAATTTCTATGGATTTGCCTATTCTGGATATTTTAAATAAATGGAATTTTATAATATGTGATCTTTTGTCCCTAGCTTATTTTTTATTTTTTTTTTAGTTTTTAAAGAGAATTACTAATTTAATTTTAATTTATTTTTTCCTATTATTTTTTAATTTGTTACAAGGCATGTGTGCTCATCAGAGAGAGAAGAAAGTAAATAAGCAAGCAGCCAGGTCTGGGATTCGAACCACTGTGGGAATCCAGCACCTTAACCACCATGCCACTTGCTGGTCTCCTGTCCTTGACATCTTCCACTTAGCAAGATGTTTTTGAGCTTTATCCATGTTGTCCTGTCTATCATGGCTTCATTCTTTTCTATGGCCAAATATTTTTTCATTGTATAGATATGCTACCTTTTGTTTACCCATTCAATAGCTGATGGACATTTGAATTGTTGCCACCCTTTGACTATTATAAATCATGTTGCTATAAATATTTGCATATAAGTTTTTGTGTAAACACATGTTCCAGTTCTGTTGCATAGGTGTAAGGGGACTTCAAAAAGTTCATAAAAAATGTCAAGTATGGGGGACCAGCAGTTAGCGTAATGGCTATGTCACTGGACTCCCACGTAGTCGACCACGGTTCGTGTCCCGGACCCGGTGGCTTAAAACTCACGCCGGGCGCGTGTGCGTGCGTGCCCAAGATCCCGAGAGGAGAATGGAGGAGAAGGGATTGCGGCGTGACCATCCCCCCAGGGGGTGATTTCTCGCTTTCTGTCTCTATGTCTCTCTCTGTCTGTCTGGCGAGTGCACACGCCCTACAGTGAAAATCTCTCCAAAAAAAAAAAAAAGTAAACTATGAATTTTTTTTGGTACAAAAAATTTTGAAATCCATGCATAGCTTTTTTATAATGTGTATTTTCCATGATTTTTTTGAAATCACCTTCTATAGGTTGAATATTCTTTATCTGAAATGCTTGGGACCAGGAGTGTCTTCAATTTTGGATTTTTTCTTCAGATTTTGGAATATTTGTTATGTATAACATGAAATATTGAGGATGAGACCTAAGTCTAAGCGCAATATTCATTTACGTTTTATATATACCTTATACCCACAGACTGAAGGTAATTTCGTGTGCGGTGTTTTAAAACATAACACCCATAACATCAGATCAAATGTGCAATTTTCCACTTGTGGCATCATGTCTGTGTTCAAAAAGTGTTTAACTTTGGAGCATTTTGGAGTTTGGATTTTCAGGTTAGAGATGCTCAACCTGGACCTACGAGAGGAATTGCTGGTTCATATGGTAATTCAAGAACCATTTAAGAATTTAAGAGACTTCAACACTTTCCACTCCCACCAGCAATTTATGAAGGTTATGATTTCTTCACATTCTCCCCAACATTTGCTATCTAACATTTTGAGTGTAGGCATGTGATGGCCATTAAAATAATAGTATTATTGTCTTAATCAGTTTTGAACTGTTATAACAGAGTATCTGACACTAGGTAATATATAAAGAACATGTATTTATTTCTTACAGTTCTGGGGCTGAGAAATCCAAGGTTAAGGGGTCATATCTGATGAGGCCTTCTTGCTGTATCATAACGTGGTGGGGGCCTCACATGGTGAGTACATGAGACAGGGAGATGAATGGGGTCAAACTTATCCTTTTATCAGGAACCCACTCCTGTGATGACATTAATCCATTCATGGAGGCAAAGCTCTCATGACCTAATCACCTGTTATAGATCCTGCCTCTTAATACTGTCACATGGCAATGAAATTTTAACATGAGTTTTGGAGAGATCATTCATTCCATAGCCAGTATCTTTCCTTTGGGCTGATGGAGGATCAACATACAAAGGTATTAGAAGAATACCTTGTTTGTAGCAATTATTTAATAATATGTCGGTATTATTGTTATTATTTTTACTAGATATCTTCCCACAGCCTAAGATACATAAAATCTCACATTTTTCAGGATTAATTTATTGATTTGCTCATGCTTCTCTGTGAGGCTTCACCAAATGCTCTGGGGTGACCTCTCTCACCACAATAAATGTGTGGCTGCAGGAGGCAGGTAAGTGTTTACTGAATTACTCATGTCTGCCCATGACTAAACATGAGTAGTTCGATTAATGAGAAAAAAAATGAGGGGAAAGAAAAATGAAACTTCCTCCCTTTTTATTAGCGAGACCTCAGAATTCGTACACCCCTGCACTAAGAGGAGATCATATCAGTTCTAGTATACATCCTTTATCTATAATAACATTCTCAGCTATCTGATCCAAGATTAGAGCATCAGTGAAACTGAGCATATCTATAGCATTTACAAAGCAGATCATTTGATAATTTTATTAAAAAGCACTGAAGTAGTCATTATGAGAAAAGTCCAAAAAGACTTGAGGTGGTTTATAATGTATCGGACAGGCCAGGGAGAAGGAGGGTGGTGGAGATTCTGCATGGCTGTGAGAGACTGGCAATGTTAGCTGCAGTGATTTATTAGCACCTTTGGTTTACAAAGGCCCTACAATTTCTGCCCTGGGTACTTGTCCAGGTACTTTAAGAAATCTGTTGCAATGATCTTCATCCTAGAAAAACCACCCTGGGGTAGGCTTGCTAGAGATCTATAGAAGAATTATTTGCCTTAACCCAAGGCTCTCAAATGTGTATTCCTACATATGCTTTATTATCTTTCTTTCAGTGCATTATTTTATCTCTCTAGTTATAAAGTTATAAAAGTTGTACCTGCAACAAGACGGGTCACAGAGAACTAAGCTCTTACAAACACTAGTTAGTGTGATAATCCTCATGTTCATTAAGGAAGGAAAGGAGAGCCAAAAGCATTAGTGTTTGTTGGGGTATTACATTATTCTGTCACTTGACAATACAAGAGGACTTTTTAAAAATTGAAGAAAAATAGAATTAAAATATGAATTTATTTTGGTTCAGAAAATTTTTGATATCTATGAATAGTTTTTTCATAACATGCATTTTCCATAAACTTTTGAAGATACTTCATATTATCCTTGTGGATCCTAAAATCAGAGATCAATAGTTCTATTGGTACCTGCTGCAGAAGATCATCTTTTTGAATGCATCCCTGAGCTCTGGGTTCCGGAAAGCATAGATAAAGGGATCAATGACTGCATTACACATGATCAACATGCCATTCACCTGAAAGAGAGACATGTAGCAAGCACAATAGGGGTTATTAGGGCAGAATGTCATTAAGAGGACATGAAGGACAAAGGGGGCCCAACAGAAAATGAAGACCCCAAGCAGGATGGTCAATGTGATGGCTCCTTTCATGTTGGCCCTCCGAAGAGTCTTGATCTTCCTGGCATGGGATAGAGCCAGCAAGAACATGTGTGCGTAGAGGCACAGGATGAAGATCAACATCAAGGGGAACAACGATGTGAACGCGATCACCGTGGGGACATGATGAGAGAAGATCACCATGGTAACACCGCTGCCCAGACAGAATGTCCAGATGACCATCAGGATGATGACGGTGCGGCGCATGGTCATGATGCTGTGGTACTGCAGTGCATGGAAGATGGTGATGTAGCGGTCAGCAGCAATCACAGACAGGCTGAAAATGGAGCCGAGCAGAGAGAGGATGAACAATGAGTCGATGATGTCATCTGCTATGGTTTCGAAATTACCACGAGGCTTGAGATAACCCATGTTTCTGAATATAATCAGGATATTTTCCAAGATCTTATACAGGCTGCCCAACATATCAGAAATGGCCAGGCTACAAATGAAACAGTACATGGGTGACTGGAGATTCTTATTCTTGACGACCGCCAGAAGGACAACCAGATTCTCCAAAACACCCATGATGGATATTGTGAAAAAGATCTCCTCTGGCAAAACCACAGGAGAACAATCTGAATTGTTTCTTGCTGTATTGTTAATGTTTTCATATGGATTGATAATGTGCTTCATTTCTCCTGCTTGCAATTAAGCGGAGTTGTTACTTGAACTTGACTTTACAGGAAGTGAAGTACTTCAACTGATTCTTCAGAATGTTTTCTTCTTTGTAGCACTTGCTGGAGAACTGAGATAAAAAAAAAAAAAATTCCTTAGCTACCTAAAAGAGAATATATAGAAATGTCAGTTTCAAAATAGACTACAAAATAAATCAATCCAGATTAGCTTTAAGAAAACTCTGTTCCTTTCATAAAATCTATCAGCAGAGTAATTTAAATAAAACAATTTACTGGGCCTTCTTTATTTTTAAAGTTCACTTATTTCTTTCATGAGAATGTGAGAAAGACAAGCACCCTTTATAGGATCCCACATTGTGATATCCCTGAACCTCAGCCAGCCAGGATCACGAATGTACACCCAACATGTACAGGTTGACCAGGAAACTGAATCTACCATCCTCCATATGGATCTAGCAGATATGGACCAGTGCATTACCTCTGAGTGACCGAGCTGGTCCTAGGCCCTCATTTTAATCACTATATGGAAAACATCTTCAGTAGAGTTTTGACCCAGAGATAATAGAAACCATTATTGTTTGTCCTCTCCATCCTTCTTGTGAATGCAATCAAATGTGTGATACATTAGAAAGAACACCATTCATTGAATGAAAACAGAAGTAGAAGAAATTAAAGGCATGTGTAGAAACAAAAAAGTACACAACCACAACTCTTTGACTTGGAGACAGTGGTTGGATTCAGTGGATTGACGAGATGTTTGGACCCTTTCTTTTTTGCTGCTTGTCTTCTTGGGTCAACACCTGACCCTACAGACTATGAGATAGTGCCAAAGGTGTTGACGTATCATTCCCAAAGATGACTATACAATACAAGTTATTACTGTTGTTTCCAAGGTAAAACTCCCGGGAGTGATATTTCTGAAAACTTTTAGTATTTCTCAAAGTATCGTTAGGTTAGAGTTGAATTATGACAACAAAAGCATCCAGTTTTGCCTCACACAGAAAAGGCCAGTTAGATTATGGTCAAATGACTTTAAGATGTCTGCTCTTGGTGGAAGAGTATGTAGAACTTTTGGTGGAAGTACGTAGAATTTTTACATTCAGTTTCCAGATGGTGGTGTTGATGGCTGGACACAGACAGTTCCGTGAAATGTATTAAATTTGCTTTTGCCATTGCAGTAGTTTTATACTCTTCTCCAAAGATGGAACTAAATCCCCTCCATTTGAGTGTGGGGGAAGCCAGCTGCCATGTCATGAGGCAGCCCCAGCGAGAAAAAAATCTAAGAGCTTAGCTTTAAGTAGAAAGTCCACAGGGAACTTGTCATTGTTTTATACTAAGGTTTTTCTTGGAGAAAAACTAATTCCCTTACAAAGTACTGGGGTTGGAGTTAGGCAGGTAGGAGATTAAGAGAGGAGTTGACATGGTAGCTGCTGATAAGGCACAGCCTAGCAGAGCCATCTTAGTCCTGTTTGCCTGAGACTTGTGTGGGTGTTTAAAATAGAAAGTCTTGCAAATCAGGAACATCCTTAGTCCCAGGTAAACTAGAATGACCTATCCCCATAGTTCTATCCACTCAGGCTCTGGGAAATTGTGTGCTAGCACTATCTACTCTGTGTCCACACAGGCTAAAAATGACAGAGAGAAAGATAGAGCCTGTGATGATTAATTTTTTTAAGGTTTTTGTCATAGGTGCATAAACTCACTGGAGACAGAGAGACTGAGAGGGAATGTGAGAAATCACCCCCCAGGGGAATGGCTATGCTGCAATCCTTTCTCCTCCATTCTCCTCTTGAGATTTTGGGCATGCATGCATACATGTCCATGATGAGCTTCAAACCACCAGGTCCAGGACTCCAACCACGGTCAGCCAAGTGAGAATCCAGTGCCTTAACCACTATGCCACCTGCTGACCCCATAATGATTAATTTTAATGTTATTAACTGGACTGGGTCATAGGGAGTCAGCCCGTTTCCAGGGCCATCATACTCCTACCAACTTTGTATTCAAAAGGTAGTGTATCAGGCACCACATCCTTTACCTTGGGGACTTTCCTGAAAACTAGATGAATTTCTTCCTCTTTTTTCCTTTTCTTCCTTTCTCCTTCACTCTTTTCCTTCTTTCTCTTTCTCTCTCCTTTTCTCTTTCTCCTTCTTCCTCTTTTATTCTTCCTCTTCCTCTTCCCTTCCTTCCCTCCATCCTTCCTTCTCTGCATGGACAGATCCTAGTGAGGAATCAGTGTGGTGGTCAGTATGCATGTCACTATGGAGACCCAGTCTTGCCATGGACATTACATTGTCATCTCCCTGCAGGGAGGATCTGGGACCTTGCCAGTTCACACCTTCATTCCTGGATGGTTGACTTAAACAGGGTGGAGTTCTTTGAAGACTTTATAAAAGGGATTGAACAAATTGACAGGGTTTCTGTGTTTATTTGGAGGCACTGAAAAATAGATCTCATTTAGAATGGATTATTTTCCTCTGAACATCCCATGGATTGCCCAAATATCTATCACCGGCATGTAGTTGATATGCTGGCTTTTCTTTTTTTTTTAGAGATTTTTGCTATAGGGCACATGTGCTCACCAGAGAGACAGAGATAGACAGAAAGAGAGAAATCACCCCCCGGCGAGATGACCACGTGCAATCCCCTCTCCTCCATTCTCCTGTCGGGATTTTGGACATGCGCACACATGTGCCCAGTGTGCGTTTCAAGCCTCTGGATCGAGGACTTGAACAGTGACTGGCCATGTGGGAATCCAACAATGTAACCATTACACCATCTGCAGGTCCCAATTGTTGCTTTTTAAACATGAATACTGTTGATTGCTATAAAATGACTTAGGAAGGCTTCCACCATGTGTTTCTGTGTGACCTCCTGCAGTTAATATTTTGTATGATTTACAGACGACCCCAAATCAAGCAAGAGCATGGTTATCCATTGTGGTGTGTGGGCAGTGAAGCGTCTAATTTGAGAGAATGACCGTATTGATATTAAAGGTCAGAGAAGTAATTTTCTACCACTGTATCTTTTGGTTTCTTCATGTGAGCTAAAGTACAGACAACTTCTCATTTGAAGCTCATTGATCTGTTTATTTTATAGCTTCATTAATATTTAGATGGAGGAGCAGAATTGAGCCCTGAAGTAGAAAGGCCTTGGAGGTGCCTAAGCTATGCTGCGGAGAATTATTCAGTAAGAGGGTTTTTTCCCTCTTGTCTTTCCCACCAAATTAATAAAAAATGCATGAGTAGTTTTTATTAATTACCATAGCTTTTGCTTCCCTCTCAAGGTAAGAGGAATCTCAACAAGTCTTAACTGTCATCATGACATCCTTGTGATTTTTATTTACCTTGGGGTTTGAAATAAATGTGTTGCCTTGACAGATAGGGAAAACATGGTTGAAATTACTAACAAAATAAGACATTTAAAATCTTATATGCTCACCTACATGGATGTTGATTTTTGTCTAATTATACCATACAGCGCAAATGAAGATAAAAGACTTAGTCACTGAAATAAGGGGGCTGAGTCTGGAAAATATTTAAATCTCTTATTCTGTTCAACTATATTCCAGAGAAATGATACACTTTTCGAGGAAAGGAGCTGGATATGTTCTAAGAATAGAGTTGAAGATGTTCACTGGTGTTATGACTTAAAAGATATTAAATCTGATCCCCAAACACCTGATCATAAGGAGCTATTCAGCCTCCAGAGAAGTTCATATTTTTTAGTGATGATAAATCTTTGTGTCTCATCACCTGCTTACTCATCTGTCTTTCTCTTTAAATTTTTTTTTCTAATATTCTTGGAAGAGAAATTTGAGAAATATAAGTGTGTGTGTGTGTGTGTATGTGTGTGTGTGTGTGTGAGAGAGAGAGAGAGAGAGAGAGAATAAGCGTCAGACAGAGGCATGTGCATAGGATATGTCATGATCAAACTAAGGTCTGATTTTTGTTAGGGATAGATGAACTTCTGGGTATTACTACAGAGTTCCAAATTCATTTATTCTAAAACTAAAAAAGCTTTTTTGTGTGTGAGTTTTTATTTACTTATTCCTTTCATCAGTGAAACACACACACAGAGAAGACCTAAGTGGGTCTGGATGCCACAATCCACCCCTAGCCTCAGTCAGCCCTGGGTCACAGGCACATGCATGCCCAGTGTACTCAGAGGCCCCAGGATGTGAACCTGGAACCTTCCCATGTGGGTCAGCCTTGCAGAGTGTCATGTTTTATCACTGTTCCACTCTTCAGGCCTCAAAAGCTTTTGTGAAAGTTAATTTTTTTCTGGAGATAGCAAGTAGCATGATGGTTGAAACACGGACTTCCTCACGGCAGACCAAAGTTCAAGTCCTGGACCCAGCAGCTTAAGACTCATACTTGGTGCATGTACATATGTGCCCAGGATCCCAAGAGGAGAGCAGAGGAGATGGGGTTGTGGTATGGCCATTCCCCCCTGGGGAATGATTTCTCTCTTTCTGTCTCTCTGTCTTTCCAATGAGCACATTCACTCTATAGCAAAAATTTCTCTGAAAAAATAAAAGCTAATTTTTCTTTGTTCTAAGAGAAATAATTATTGAATGAAAAAAAAAAGAGCATCAAAGAAATAGATATCCTTAGCCTTCATTGACTTAACACATTTTTAAATAGAGACAATACTTAGTTTATACAGTATTTACATTGCGGTTCGGTTTATACATGATACTATCTGTAAATTAAAGCCTGTCACACATTGTGAGCTCAGTAAAGGTTATTATGGTTTAATGAGTTCTCATTGCCTACAGAATAAATTTCTATTGTTAATTTTTAGAAAACTTGGTGGTCAGATCCAACAGGTAGCATAGTGGTTAAGGTGCAGACTCCCACATGGTCGGCTGCAGTTCAAGTTCCAGATCTGATGGCTTGAAATTCATACCAGGCATGAGTGCACATGTACCCCAAATCCCAGGAGAATAAAGAAGAGATTGCAGCATGGCCATCCCTGCCGAGAGGGAATTACTCATTTTTTCTCTCTCTGTCTTTCTGGCAAGCACATGTGCCCTATAGCAAAAATCTCTCCAAAAAAGAAAACTTGGCAGTCTAGTCAGTGGCCTGGTGGTTAAGGCATCCCTCATGGTCAACTGCATGGTTTGAGACCT